GTCCTCTGGGGCATGGGGAGCCAGGCGAGGACGGTGTTGATCGGGTCACTGAGCCTGGTGAGGGAGAGGACACGAGCTACAGAATTCTGGATGATCTGCAGCATGTGGAGGGAAGAGGTGGGAAGGCGGACAAGCGGGGAGTTGGCATAGTTGAGCCCAGATGTGATGAATGTGTGAATGAGGGTTTCAGTGGCCTGAGGGGAGCCGAGCAATGTTGCAGAGGTGGAGGAAGGCAGAACGGGGCTTGGCATGGAAAACCAAATGCTTCCAGATATGCCAAGGCAACAGAACAAAGGGCACAGATTCAAGATTGCAATAGGCAATTTCAGGTCAGAGTTCAGGAAGTAGTGATTTAAGGAGGGGGCAATTAGCAAATGGAACAGGTTATCAGGAAAGAGGCCAAACAGTTGGACACATTTAAGAAACTGGTTGCAGCCAGGATGTTGGGCACATTTGAGAAACATCATGATGCTGTAAAAGGAGGACGTTAGGGTGGGCATTCAGGAAAGATGAGATCAAACACGGAGTTTCAAAAAGAGAAAGTAAAGTGGGACAAAGAGTTTTTGTAATCTTTCTCCCCCACATCCTCACCATGACCGGCACTGCCTACCACCACCTCCGCAACTTTGCCAGACTCCACCACTGCCTCACTCCTCAGGCTGCTGAAACCCTCACACACACACACTCATCACCTCAAAGCTTGATTACGGTATTCCCTCCTCATCGGTCTTCCCAACTCTTTCCTTCACAAGCTGCAGATCATCCAAAACTCTGCAGCTCATGTACTCTCACGCACCAGGCTCTGTGACCCCATCACTCCCACCCTCGCTCGACTCCAATCCTCGTCCTCACCTTGAAGGCCATCCTACCTCTCTGATCTGCTGACTCCCTACCAACCTGCCCGCTCCCTCCGCTCATCAGGTTCCGGCCTGCTCCGTGTCTTCTGACCTGCCTTTCCATCGGTGGCCAGGCTTTCAGCCTCTCTGCCCTTACACTTTGGATCTCCATCCCATAGTCGCTTCGCCTCGCTTCCTCGCTTGCATCCTTCAAGGCCAGTCTCAAGACCCTTCTCTTCAACCATGCCTTTGGTCTACCTCCAATCTCTTTGCATTCCCTCACCCTACACCACCCCTCCCCCATGCTGGGGCCCCGACATCTGACTTTTCAGCGTTTTGGGACGTCTTCCCGACGTGAAAGGCACACTGCAAATGTAATTTTGTTGTTGTTGTTGGTGGTGGTGCCACTCTGCCATTAACCTCTGGAACTCCATCCCGTAGTCCATCTGCCTCGCCCCCTCCCTTGCCTTCTTGAAAACCCGTCTCAAGACCCTCCTCTTCGACTGTGCCTACGGTCACCCTCCTTCCCCCCTGCCCTTCACCCTCCCCAATCCCAACCTCCAGCTAGGCTCCGAAACAATGATTGTCCAGAGCATTGGGATGTCCTCCCGACTGGAAAGGCACTATACAAATGTCATTTTGTGGTTGTTATTTTTGGTCAGCAGGAGACAGGCAACAATAACACAAAATTTCCCCTCTCTTTGCATCCATTCCTTATTTTCCCCTTCCCTTTTGGGGAAACATTCAATCTTTACCGTGTCCTCTCCTGGCAACCTGGATACATTTGGCTACTCAACATCTGGTAAGTAAACAAGAGTTGAAGATGAGGAAACCCTTTTGGCCCATTTGAACTTTATTGGTTCGGTATTAACATTCTGCAACATTGTTTGTGTATAGATAAAATATTGGATACTGTCTTGAGGTTCAGTGCTGAAAAGGAGCAAAAAATACTCTCTTCTCTCTGCAACTTTGTGGCGAGCGCACACCAGACAGTAGAATAATAATAATAATAATCCTTGGATTAGGTATACTGCTTGATCACATCATTGAGGCCTCCATTGCCTTGCTCCCCCCACCTCTGCAACTTTCTAACCCCGAGGCAATGGAAGGCTCAAGCACTTTGCAGAATATATTGAAAAGCGGATTTTGTGGGCAAAACATAGCAGCCAATTGTGCACAGCAGTGTCAGACAAACAGCCATGGATTGAGTGACCAAATAATTTTTTGTTGGTTTGTTTGTTTTTGAGAGACTATTACCCCAGCAAAGCAATCCACCAATCGATTAACAATCTGGTTCCTACTTGTTGCTAGGTAAACTCAAGCACATGTGGAGTAAGGAAACTTTCCTCAGGTTTTGCTCCGCCTGGAAATCGAACCTGGATCCTCTCACTTGCGAGGCAAGCGTGCTAACTACTACCCTATGGGACTCCACAACAAGAGAACGTAAGTTTAAAGTTGTAAAGAGTAGCTTGGTACAGCGATGTGGCTTGTTGACTACAGTGAGTCAATTCTGTATATTTAGTTAATAAATAAAATTATTAGCTCACAGAGTCAGGTACTCCTTCAATAATATGTTTTATTCAAGAAACCTTTGTATGGAGATGTGCATGTTTCAAGTCAAATGTCCCAAACCATTAATCCATACTTTAATTAAGAGAATAAAGATTTCAAACAACTCACATTGGTTATCCCCTCCCTCCAAATGAATACTAAAAGAGCATAATAGTCAACTGAACAGAATCTAAGGGTCAATGACTGATACTCCAATGCTGGGAGTCTGCTGCATTTTTGGAGGTGCCGACTTGCAGAAGAGACATTTAATTAATGAGACATTAAACCAAGGCTCCATCAGCTGGACTTTAAGTCGCATTCTTGAAACCTTAGTTTTGCATTAAAATAATTAAAATCTGATAGATGTTCATCTTAAAATAATTCAGAAATTCAGAATAAAACCTCTTGAAAGGATGTGAACTTTAACCTCCCTTCATATACAAACTAACATGTTCTCTTCTGGGGCTGGTCGGGTAGAAATACAATGAGCTCTTGCAGTAGCATGATATCCTGCAATCACACTGTCCAAATTGTTCCACCCCAGATTGAGCCGTTAGACCACATTCGCTCAAAAAGTTCAATTCTGAATTCAATTTTAGCCGATACAATAACAACAAATAGCATTTATACAGCTCCCTTCACTCAAGTAGTGTCTCGGAGCTCTTTTTCCCTTCGAGCTTTTTGAGTCCCTTTAAGACTATTCTATCACTTACAATCTTCTTCAAAACAGCAGCCAGCTCTGACAGGATTTAACTCTTTGTTGAACAAAAAAGCAACAGAAACGGAGACGCCCAATATTATGACCTCATTATTTCTATAGCTCTCGCAAATTTGTCATCTTTCATCTTGGGATTAGTCAGCTCCCCCCAGCCAAACAGAGATAGATTACTTGAATGGAATGTGCACTCGCCCCCTGGAGGGACGAATCTTGCTTATCTAATTCCGTAAAGCATTAGTCACAGTTTGGCAAGAGCCAAGGCTTCAGGATCCCAGCTTGTGCATTGGGGTAACTCCTGGAGTCTAACCACTAAACCTACAAAGCTTGCCAGTGATATTGCTGTCTCGCAAGCTTTCCCACTGCGTGTCCAGCTGGATGCTGTGATGGGGGAGGGTTTCTGGAGGATGAGAT